TCAACCAACCAAGCAATCAATCAACCAATCAATCCAGGACCAACAACTAACTAACCAATCAATCAACCAACCAAGAAACCAACCAGCCAACCAACCTACCAACCAACCAACCAACCAACAGCCAGCCAGCCAGCCAGCCAGCCAAACAACCGACACACAAGCCAACCAATCATCTCCAATTCACTTGGACGATCTTGATTTAGTATGTTAGGATGGTCCGGTGTGGAAAGAATATACCATATGGCACCTTCAAACTATAAACAACACACGTAGAAACATTATGTATGCACAAGAGTATGTATGCATGTATGTGTCTGTCTGTCTGTCTGTCTGTTTGTCTGTCAGTATGTATGTATGTGTTATTATTACTTTTAAGAAATTCACTTAATGGTCTGTATGTATGTATGTATGTATGTATGTATGTATGTATGTATGTATGTATGTATGTATGTATGTATGTATGTATGTATGTATGTATGAATGTATGAATATGTATATGTGTGTGTGTGTATGTATGTGTGTACTATGTATCTATGTACGTATGTATGTATGTATTTAAAATTTAAAAAAAGCCAACAAAGAACATACATACAAACATAAAAACATTCATACAAGCATACAAACAAACAACAGGCTCCATGCATTAATACAAACACATGCATGCACACACATGCACACTCACAGTAACAAAAACCATCAACCAGCCAACATCTCAATTACCGATCTTTATGTATCTTTTCTTGGGACTACCGTCTTTGCTTGCACACACACACACACACACACACACACACACACACACACACACACACACACACACACACACACACACACACACACACACATACATAGTGTTATTTGATAGACTGTTGATTATGAATAAAATTTTTAGAATGAAAAAAATAAAAAAATACACACACACAGGCACACACACACACACACGCACACATAATTATCTTTAAAAATTCTTAACACTGATTTAGCGACGAAATTTTTTATCGTCAATAGTCATGCGTGCAACACGCGATGACAAGCATCATGTTATAAGTTGTAAGATAAAAATTTAATTATTTCAATTAATAATGATAGATTTGATCGTAATAGCAACAACAATCAATCAATCAATCAATCAATCAATCAATCAATCAATTTTTTTAGGCTCTCTTTCCGCGATGTTCAACAGCGCTCTTAAATGAATTTTGCAAACAGATAGGTCTTGAGATCCGCTAAGTGGTAAGTTGATGGAGAAGTAGTCAGAGAAGGAGGTAGAGAGTTCCAGAGAAAAGGGCCAGAAAAAGCAAAAGCAGAATTAGAATATTTGTGTATTGGTCATTCCTCTGATGATACTAGGAAGAGTTTCATAGACCTTTTTGCCTTTAACTAGCTTATATGATTTGTCTTTGAGCCACTATAATTTATGTTAAGTTGTTAAGTTATTTGATGTGATGTCTCGTTATATTATATATAATATATATATATATAATTCCTTAATGAAATTCTGTGAAGGCAAAAATTGCGCGGTATACAAATTTTTAAAATACATTTTTAAACGTAAGCAAAATCTTCCATCAAAATTTTGTCCATTTATGTTTTAGTGACTCTCTTTTAGTCTTTCTCTTCCAGTTTTAATTATTTTGTGATCAATAATTAGTATTCTTTTTACAATTTCGTAATGGCCGAACATGTTTTCGAGAAAGAATTGAAGTTTGGCTTAAGGAACAACTGGTACGAAAATGGTTAGTGTGGAAAAATTGCTGGCAGATTTTAAAAAAGTTATTCTAAATTTGGAAACTGTTAATTTTTAGTTATAGTTTTGGTACCATAATCATATTGATTAAAAAACTTATCTTATTTTGTCTTATTCTAGTATCTTTACAAAAAAAAGAATTTTACATGCTTATTATTTTCATGTTTAAAACAAAGCTTTACTTTAGTTAGTTATTTAGCACTCTTCCAAAAATTGTTTAGTAACTAAAAACAAATTAATAATTTATCTAATTAATTTTTGTTCTGAAAGATTTACAGTTGGCAGCAGAGTTAGGTAAAAACCTTCTGGAACGGAATCAAGATTTGGAACTGCAACTGCAGCAGGCATTTGCACAACAAGATGAACAAAAGATGGAAATTGATGTAAGCAGTTGAAGCCTAATAAATATTATTATTATTTATTTATAATATGAGTCATTCTTTATCAACTTGAACCATGGTCTATAGTCATCTCCAATTATTTATTTTATTTTAACAGTAAGTCTCTCAATATATTTCACCAACATTATACAGTTTTTATTAAAATATTTCATTTATTTTTAAAGTTATAAAGATTTTGTGTGACACCACTGTCCAAATTTAATATATGTTAATGAAATTTGTTGTACAACTTAATAGATTAATTTAACAACAAATAAAAATTATTGCTCAAATGTTCTTGTTTATTGTTCCAAATCACATGATATTTAGCATGAAACATTTTGAAAAAGTTTAATTTTTTTAAATTTCAACAAATTTCAGAATCTGTTTAAATTATTAAAACCAATTAAAATGATATATTTATAATAAATTATTATTAATTTGGTAGCTACTTCAAAAGCAGCTTGAAATTTTGAAGAGCGTGAACGACTCGCGCATGAGAATGTACGAGGACGTCGATAGGAATGCGCAAGAACTCGAGAAATTGAATGCACAGCTCCTGAAGGACAAGAAAATTGATAGAGATTATATTTCCAAGTCAGCTTTTCACATTTTTTATACAGTATTATTTTATTTTAAAATCAAAGCTCCTAGTTTATTTAACTCTATTGTAATCATTATCTATCGTTCAGTTTGTTGTTTATCATTAACTGTTTATCTCAACTATCTTTAAAATAAAATTCATACTATCTCAATTATTTTATTAGAAAATGGTAGTTAGAAACAAACTTTTGAATTCAATGCAGTTTGAAGGAGACAGTCAAGAAACTTGAGGAGAAGAATCTGGAATTGGATGAGATGGTGGAGGAGAATGCAGCAAAGTTTTACAATTCCTTCATTCCAGACATCATCAAAAGGAGGGTGAACAGCGTCCCCAGTCTGCTAGACGAGCCCCAAATCGACCTCTCAAAACGTGATTGGCAGATGCCGGGCCCGTGGAGGCGAGAGAAGGAGGCAGAGGAGTTGAGGAAGCTGATCAACAGACAGGAGCAGACCGTCAAAAGGCTAGAAATGCAAGTTGTGATTGAAAAAAATAGAAGGAAGTTGCTGGAGAGTGAGCTCGGTGCTGCTTTCAACGCTCACGTGGCTCTCGAGGAAAAGTTCAGAGATGAATTGGAAAAGATGAAAGCGATGCAGCAGCCAAAAAACCACAGAGATTCTTCTGTCTGCGATGACGATGATGGCGACGAGGGCGCACACACAACGAAACAAAATGACAACACTGCAAACAAGAAATCACCCCGACCTTCACACTTGAAGACAACATCCCTGGCGTCGGCCAACAACGAAATGAAAGTGGAACACGACCTCGACAGGCTACCTCGCGGAAAGGTGGTGAGGTTAAAAAATGGTGGCAGTGCGTACGGGAGCAGGGAATCTCTCAACATGATGGGCCTTGAAGTTCTCGAGGAAGATGCCACACCCAGCGTCGAGGTTTGCAGTACCATCCTGGCTTCCGATATGGCACGGCGAGCGTTTGAGACGAAGGATAGGGAGGAGAGGGATGCTGCCAGGTTCTGTCTGCTTGGAGAGTTGGAAGAACAATATCAGATGCTCGTGTCCAGGTTCGAGTGCAGTGTCCTTCTGCATGCTGTTCGTTTTGTTTGTTGGTGTCCGTGATTTTGTGTTGTTGTTTTTGAGAGAGAGACGGTTTAATGAAAATTTAGCAAACGGGTAAAGGTTAAAAAATTCCATCATGATTTAAACCATCCAACAAAACAAATTGCACCCCCAGGTATGAATCCTTAATAGAATCGAAGCAGAAGTCCAACCAGACGGATCGCTCGACGCAGTACAACGTAGAGGGCAGTATGTCAACATCAACATCTACTACCACCACATCCGGCAACACTTCCATGGTGAGATCCCTGGACCTCACCTCCCCTCTGGACCCTACCGAGGGCCGTTTCGATCATGGCCCTCCTGAGTATAAGAGACTTTTCAAGGAGATCTTCCAGACACTCCGCAAATCCAGGGTCTATGATGAAGAAACCATTTAAACGATGGTGGTGATGCGCTGTCTATTGTTATACATTAATGTGTGTGTGCGTGTGTTTATTATGTGTGTGCGTGCGTGTGTGTGTGCGTGTGTGTGTACTTACTAATTGTAATTATCTATGATGATCTATTGATGGTATTCTTCATTATATCTATCGGTCTATGGTCGCATTTTATGTATCCATCGGATGATCTTATTATCTTATTCGTTTGTTACTTGTCATCAATTTGTGTGAAGATATTTTTTGGCTGATATGCGTTGTGTTGTATGCAGATTTTCTTGCTACTTTCTCTCTTTTTCCTCCTTCTTTCTCTCTTTGTTTCTCCTCTCTCTCTTTTTCTCTCTCCCCCCCTCTCTCTCTCTCTCTCTCTCTCGTTTTTTTTCCTCTATCTTTATAAATTTCCAACTTTTTCTTCTTCCTTCCTCTCTGTCCTTTTTTGTCTGTCTCTCTTTCTCTCTCTCCCTCTCTCTCTTTCTTTCTCTCTCTCTCTTTCTTTCTCTCTCTCTCTCTCTCTCTCTCTCTCTCTCTCTCTTTCAACTTATAAAGTATTTTCAGGTGAGTGATATGTGTCATTCGTTCGTTCATTCATTCGTTCATTCATTCATTATATTGTGATGACGGTACAACAATTTATATCCATCATTAACAAAAAATTATTGCTTGTTACTAATCTGCATTGTTATTATTATTATTATTATTATTATTATTACTAGTCGTAGTAGTAGTAGTAGTAGTAGAAGTAGAAGTAGTAGCAGCAGTAGTAGCAGTAGCAGCAGCAGAAGTATCTATATCATTTTTATTGTTACAACTTTTACTAGCAGGCATATTTCTGTATTAGCGACATCATATTACAGTGTATTTTTACTTGTTCTTATCCCCCAGTTGTGTTGTAGTATAGTAATGTGATATATTACACTAGAAACAACTTTTCTTATTCTTTTTTGGGATTTTTCTTTGTATGTAATTTGCATAATTGGAATGAAATCAAATTATGAGTAATCAAATGTACAGGCGTGCATACACACGTGTGTACGTACATACATACACAAACAGACACGTACACACAAACACACACATACATACGTACATACAAACATACATTTGTGTGTGTATGTCGTTTTTTTGTGCGCTAAACTAGCTCATACACTGTCCGTTACCACTGCCAAAGTCATTACCTATATAAACACTTTTATCACCATCACCATAATCTTTCCATCATTCCCATCATCGCCATCCTCATAGTCTACATCACCACCATCATCTTTTATTTATATATTTGTTCACCATTTTTCAGGGGTACCAACGACAGTGCATGCAAATGTACAACCCATCAGTCCATCCCATCACTCGTACGTTGAATGTGCTTAGACGTAGGTTGGGATCTGTTGGAATTTGAATCCGATCAGTGCAGGAGTAGCGCCTGACAATTTACCGTTATAACCATAGCTTCGTTATCATCTTCATCACTCACTGTAATCACCATAGTCTTCATTCATCATTAACTTCTATTATAGCTATCATTCTCGTCGTTCTCTTGTTTCTCGGCTCTAGTCACAATGACAAATACATATACGTACAGACACCATGCTTCTCTCGTGTCATTTCTTTTCTATCATTGCTCATATTAAGCTTTCGTCGTTAAGCTATGTTAACCATTGCCTGTTGTATCTAAGATTATCGATATGTATCAATAATATAACCCTATATATATGCATATGCTTATATAAATATTTAAACTACATATATATGTGTGTGTGTGTGTGTGTGTGTGTTTGTGTGTGTGTTTTTAACTTCTTTAAATGGTTTTGAACCAGCATAAGCATTTTTCAAACCTTCATGTCTACAAATGAATAAATGTGTGTGTGTGTGTGTGTTGCTATGTGTGTATATATATAAATTCTGGGCTAGTCATATATGTAAATGATATTAATAAATGCCGCTTTTTTTACACCACCAGACAGATCATTTGTTGTTAAGCTTTGTGGCCATTGAAATTGCGATTATGTTTAAAATTCATGTATTTTATTTATATTATATTCATTCATAATATATATACTTATTTATCTAATGTGTCCAATTTTGTTTGTCTTGCTTGCATCAATCCCCAGCAACAAATTCGAAATGGCAATGTTTTTGAAGCCATTAAGGTAGAGAAAGTCACATCGTTTCAATATCTAGAGGATGTTCTGGATTGTACTGGAACAGCTGAAGCTGCCGTTCGAGCACGCATACGTGCAGCCTGGAATAAATGGCATCTCCTTGCCTCTATATTGATGCGGCGTGACATCCCACTACCACTATGATCAGGACTTTATAAATCTGTGATACGTCCGGTGTTGTTATATGGTGCAGAAACATGGCCAATGACAACCAAACTGGAACAACAACTTCAACGAACCGACATGAAAATGCTCCGATGGATGCAACGAATTAGTCTGAAGGACCGCATCAAATCTACCGAAATCCTGCGTCGTGGTGTTTTAGATGATATAAAGGACGAATGCCGGCAACACCGTCTGCGGTGGTTTGGTCATGTCAAACGAAGTGGAAACAGTGCCATAACTTCTCTTGCAGATGTTGAAGTACCTGGCACACGTCCCAAAGGCCGTCCAAAGAAGTCAAAGAACAATCGAGCAAGACTTGAAAGCTTTAAATTTAAATGAAATGGTTACAACTGATCGTCTAATTTGGCGCAAAAAATTGATGGCAAAGAAAACAACGTCCTATTTCGGAAGAACTGGGTCTCTGGACGCTAAACGAAGATTGATTGATTGATATAAATGATTTATTTATTTATTAATTTATTATTATTATTATCGTTTTTTTACGTAGGATGTTCAGGTCTGTACGTACGCTCACAGACCTCTGAGAATTGTTGAAATAGTCTAATTCAATTTTTTTTCTTCGTTTATTTGTGTAGTTTTTTTTATTTATTCAAGTTCACTTTTGTTTGTAGTAACTGTGGCCGCCATCTTAGGCCTGACGAGTTGCACCTTCATATTTTTAAGTCGTTGGATCTGACGGTGCAGAGCCTGCGATCTCCTGATCAACATTACAAGTTCCCGCCTCAGTTCATCGTTCTCTTCGTTTATTCTCTCACTTTCTTTTGACATGAAAGTTTTGGCTTGCTGTGGTAGTTGAATGATATTTACTGTGTTTTTATTTGTTGATTGGTTTGTTTCTTGATTGATTGATTGATTGATTGATTGATTGATTGATTGATTGATTGATTGATTGATTGATTGATTGATTTGTTGGACGGATTGGTCGGGTTGATTTGGATTTGTTTGTTAATTTGTAATCGACTGATTGATTGATTGGTTGATCAATTTTGTGGTTGCTGGACTGTGATTGGTTGGTTGATTGGTAGATTGATGGAATTACTGATTAGTTTATCGATTGGTCGATCAGTTTCTAGCAAAGGCAATTAAAGGTTGAATGCGGACAAACTTGGTCGATATGTTTCGAGACACCATTTATAGTTGTAGAACATGTTTCTTTCAGCTCCTTGCTATCCATCGCTAACTTAACTTTCAAGCTATCTATTTCCTCGGCGTTTGATACTTTCAACAGTTTCAAATCCTGCTCCAACTGCTCACATTTCGTTGATAATTCTTTCTTGAGAGCCTACGTGCGTATGTTTGTGTATTGTTGTGCCTATTGGTGTGGTTCTTTAACGCGTTTATACGTGTGTGTGTGTGTGTGTGTGTGTGTGTGTGTGTGTGTGTGTGTGTGTTTCTGGGTGTGTTAGTCAGCATGTGTTTCTGGATGCGTACTTTAACGTTATCCAAGCTTTCTAGCTGTCTTGAAATCTTTTTGCACTCTTTGTCTTTTTCAGTCAGTAGATTTTGTAAGCCTATGAAAGTAAAAATAATGACCAAAATAAGTGAACTGGTAGTTATGAAGATCGAATGTTAGAATTCACTTATTTATTTTTTCAAAACTTTTCAAAAAAGAGATAGTTTTACTGTAGAAATAAGTAAATAAACAACGTTACATGATAAATCCTGCGAATGTTTTTCCATAATGAGGTCATTTTCTTTCTTAAGCAAGCCCACTTCATTTTTGTAATGATCTCCAGACGAAAGAATCATCATTTTACCAGGGCCACCATTGTTAGTTTTACCATTGCCTGGCTCTTTATTGCTCGAGTATGTCAAGTATTCCTCCTTTATTTGGTTGTTAGGTGGAGTTTTAATTGTGAAATAATTAAACGAAATTATGATCATAATTATTATATTGCATATATTATGTTAGGCTTGTTTTTAGTTTTCGAATTAAGTTTTTTTAGGTTGGAAGTTTAGTGTATAGGTGATAAAATAACCGAGAGTTACTCATTTATTTATAGAGGAAATGTTTGAATGCAGTTTCATGCCGAAGAATCCCCGGTAATTAATTTAATCATACTTTTAGAACCTCACTAACGTTCTCTAATTGAAGTTGATAGATGTACTCTTTGATTTTGGAGTTGCTGTTCCTTCTGAGAAAATTAGTTAGTTTTTAATAATAAATTTGATTAATATTTTTTCAAATATATACAATACGACACTCCAAGAGAAAGAGAGAGAGAGCTAACGTACATGAAATAGCGTGAATAAATTCAACATGGTAGCAGGAACTTCAGTTATATTAGGAGTGGGCTAACTACGGCCCACGGTCCGCATGCTGCCCGCGAAGCTATTTTTTGCGGCCCGTAAGGCCTTGTTCACCAAAAAAGATCTACTGTCAGACATTATGGTCAAAAAAAAAGCCACAAATTTTCTAAAATTCTCCCCCGGGTCAAAAATATTTACTATATAAGTACATATGCGGCCCCTCAAAGGTAAAATAGTTCTCAATGCGGCCCTCACAGTAAAATGTTTGCCCACCCCTGAGTTATATTATTAAAAAAAAACAAATATGTATGTACCACTAACAATTGTTTTATCTTTTGATCGCTTTCTTTGATTTTCAACTTTATGTCTTCCAGTCTTGGAAAATCATGAAATGTTGGTTATAAATAAAATGATGGGTTTACTTCTCGTTAAAATGTTTCACTATTGTGAGACTTTAAAATAATAATCTGCGGTACTTTTTATAATAATTACTTGTTTAATGAGATAAATGCGAAAATTGATGACACTAAAAATTATAAAGTATAATTTTTTTTAGAATGAAATGTAAATGCATTATAATTTAACTGCCACTAAACTCTTTAGATAGCATGGCTTCTTTGAATGATTGTTCGACTTGGTTTTTCATGTTTTACACTTAAATTTATTGGCTAATTAAATAAATAATAAGTTAATTAAAATTTTTTGATATTTGTTTATTGTAGATAGTTATTGGATGTTAAAGTGGGGGAACACGTTAGTTTTGTTGCTAGGCAGCCAAATAATGGTTTCATGTTTTTTAATCAAAATTGCAAATTAATCATAAGCCGTAACAATATTTTTGAATAGTTGGTCTTACATTTATAACAAATTTATAGAATGCAAGAACTTTAATGTTTGAAAAATGTAAGTTGCTATAAATTACTTTGGCGTTCCATTTTTTATTATACATTATCGTTGTAAAAAATGAAGTTAAAACTATGATAAATTTTTTGGACTCCATTTTTCCTAATCAAGCGAAATATCTGTCGGTTTTTTGCGGTTTGTATGTTCTTTTTCTCTACTGATTAGTGTAATTTTGTTTATTTTTATTATTTTAGTTTAAAATTCAAAAGTATTATTTTCCGATTTGCAATTATATTTTGCGATCGCATTTTTGGCTTCCAGCAGATTTTTGCATTTTGTCAGTTTCAGTTTTGATTTTGTTGTTTGGAAAACAAACTAAACTTATTTGCCAGTAACAAAAAATTGTATTATTTGGTTTTAAAAATAAAAAATCATACTTTTTACAGAATCTTTCTCTCCTCAGCTGGCTTTCTTCTGTCCTCAAACATAAATTGCCTAACAGTAGAAAATGTATTCATCAAGGAATCATAATTTTCATGGCGGGTATCAAGCAGGTCACTAATTTTTTTTGTGTCTAACTTTATTTTAGCATCGATTTTCAATTTGTTAGTTACTATCAAATCAAGTAATCACAACTGACAAAGCATAATTTATTAAATTAAAATGAATTAAATTCAAAATCTTATTAAAATTAAGATTTAATTCGTTCAAAAATATTTTCAGATTATCATGGTAGATTGATAGCATCAAAGACATTGAAATTAGAAACAAAAAGATATTACATAGATGTCAAAGAAACCGATAGATTCATGTTTCTTAAATTAACTGAGGTGAATATGGGTTTAATTAATCTGAACTCAAGCAAGTTTTTTTTATTGTCAACTATATCCAAGATTCCTATGCACACTAATCACTAATTAGTTGTCATCTTCACTAATCCCTATTTTTATTGCATATCACCAGATTGAGACTGGAGGTAGAAAGAGTAAAATAACATTGGATCTTCAATCAGCCGCTGATTTTCATTTTATGCTTACAGAGTTCAATGAATTTTACACTAATCTTGGTTGGTAAAATGGCATTGACCAATTTTCCTAAATGTTATCAGTCAAAGAGCGGTATCAGTCAATTAATCGTTTGATCAATGACTATTTTCAAAATGTTTAGAAATTTAATATCTTGTATTAACAGTCATTCCAATTAATACACTCTAATTAATCTAAAGTCCTAACCAACTGATTCATCCAAATCTTATACACTAACTTTAGGACCACGAACGAGCAATGCTGGCCGTCGGGACGAGATGGCCCCTCTGAAAAGTGACTCCTTTACATCAAAAGATAGAAAGATATTTTTAGATCTGAAAGAAAATAAGTGGGGTAGATTTTTAAAGGTGAGGATAGGTGGATAAAATGAATGAATGAATGATTTATAAATAAGTGAATGTATTAGTTATTGATGTGTCTGAATTAATAAATTTTGAATGATCTTTACAAATGAATTAAATGAATACATTAAGAAATGTGATCAAAAGATATAAATGTGAAAATAAAAATTTGTAAGATGAAGTGACTAACGTAGGCAGGATTCCACGAGTGGAACGTTGAATTTATAAAGACTGTACAATTTTTGTTGGAATGTTTCTTCTAAAATGAAAAAAATAGTAAACTTTAAAAAAAGTGAATTCATAGACAAATACCATTCTAAATAAACAAATGACAAAAGTATAAATAAATGCAACCCCCCAAAAAAAACTATAAAAAAACAGGTAACAATGACAGTAAGTCTGGGCAGGGAGAAGCACAAATTAATTATCCCGGCTCAGGGCATGACGGAGTTGATTGATGCGTTCACCGAGTTGTTGAGAGAGGCAGATGCCAAAATTAAAAAAGGAGACCTCGACAAGGAAAAGAAAAAGAATGATGTCGACGAGGAGGGAGAGGATAGGAGCGCTGACGACAACAAAGATAGCCGATCGAATGTCGATCGGGACGAAAAGAGAGATGGAGAAGAGAACGAAGAGAGAGAGGGCAAGAGAAAGCGCGATGTTGTTAGCTCTTCTGAACAGAGTGCAGGCGGTAGTAATGACGACAACAGAAATGGTTAGTTAGATGGAATGATAATTATTTTTTTCGTAATTTGATGATGATGATGATAATTATGGCCTAAGTTATGTGGAGGGTTCGAAATTACATATAATATAATAATTATTTGATCTAATTGTAATGGTGCTAGACATAGTGTTGAGTGGATGTGATGTGATAACGTGATAACAATGGAGATGTTGATAGCTAATGTTGTCGGTTCCTCTGCTATCCTAGAATGAAAATTGTTTCTAGATTGAAAATGAAATGAAATAAAAAAAACTATGTAAGAAACAAAGTTCATTTTCTTAAATTGTAGCTAACTCGACATTCAGAGAGAACCAGCAGTAGCTCAGTGAGTAACGTTGAAATAGTAATTGACGATGATGATAGCAACCGTTGCAATGCTGTGCTGAGTAGCTAGTAATGCTAGTGTGATAGTGTCGGTATTAGTAGCGTTGCTTGGCCGTTAAAAGAAATACGTGTCTAGTCAAAAACCGCCTAAACTCATTCTAATTGGATGTTTTTTCTAAATTCAGTTAGGAGTGTTTTTCTCCTGTGCTGTAATTCAGTGTTAATTAGACAAAATCCTTTCTTTCAATATAACGATCACAATGAATAATATTTGTGTGTGTGTTGTATGCGTAAATTAGCATGTACACTATGTATTGACGATTTTATATAAAAAATTTACCCATGCAATCAATACGAATATTGTATGTGTTGTTGATGTATGTGCAATCATAAATGTGTAACACGTATGTACTTAGAAACACGCTTATATACACATACGCTAACATAACCACATACTTACAAAACATGTGTTGTATGTGACAGATAAGAAGGTGAAGAAGTCTCATCTGTCATACGGTGATCAATACCTTGAGGTCAATGTTAATAAAAATTCTAGAGGAACATTCCTAAGAATTACGGAGGTACGTCAGCGTGTTTATTTGTTTATCTGTCTGTGTATGTGTGTGTACGTGTGTGTACACGTTTGTAGGTTTCATGTATGTATGAGGGATTTGCATTTGTATACCATTTGCACTTGTCTTTTCTTTACATTTTTATGTTTTGTCTTTGAACGTCTACAAGCGTTTGCTCATATTGGTATGTTTGTTTGCAGTCGTTCGTTTTTTTGTTTGCAGTAGTTTGTTTGTTTTTTTTATGAATTTAGCGTTTCACATTAGTTTTTTAACGATTTTCTTTGCTAAACTTTCGTTATGTAGCTGCTATGATAGATTCTATTTTATTATAAAACCTTCATATAAGCTGATTAGTTGTATAGTAGACAAATGAATGAATGATTGAATGAATGAAAAACAATGATATTAAACAATAACAAAGACGTGAAGCAATAAATAACAATGATATAAACAATAACAAAGACGTGAAACAGCGACAAAAAAAATTAACAGGTAAACGACAACATAGAAAAATCAGTGAGTGTTCCGCAAGAATTCTGGATGAACTTTTTGAAGAAATTGAAAAAGTCCATCAATGACAACAATGTCGATGCCATTAACAATAACAACAACAACATTAATGATATTGACCAACAACAACAACAAGAATATTATGACAAACAACAACAGCACTATGATCAGCAATCTAATACTGTCTTTGAATCTTTAAACAGCATAGACCTTGTGAACATAAACGAATGAACGAAAGACTGTCTGAATGAATGAATGAATGATAGCTTTATGATTGACCAGATGAATGAATAAATGAATGAACAGGTGGATGAATGATGAGCACACGCACAAAAGAACTGACCTGATGAATAAAAGAGAATGATTAAAAAAAACGTGATGGTGTTAATGGTTAAGGTACCTGGCAGGCATTGCTGATTTAGTGACCGGGTTCGAATGTAAAGAAATCCCCGCCTATCACACGGAGAAGTGTGATAGGCTTGTATTCATACGCTGTGTGTTTGTTGTAATGATAAAAATGGATGCTTAAGCGTATGGATAAATTGACAGTATTTCATTGCATCTTTGTGTACAAACACACACACACACACACATACATACATACATACAGATACACATAATATATATAATATCTCTCTCTATATATGTGCATACACATGTGTATGTACACGCTAATACATTATATGTAATACAAATTCCTGTACAAAACTTGTTTTCATGTACTCTCAATGTTAAAATCGTTCAGTAAGTACATTAACAACAGTGATATTATATAATACAAGTGGATATATATATATATATATACATGGATATATATTATATATATCCATGGATATAATACAAGTGAATAAACTGGATTCTTAATTGATGATAAGACTGTTTCATAATAATGAAGAAGATGACGACGAGAATGATGATAGCAAATGATAATGATGTTATTATTATTAATAATGATGATGATAAATGATAACCAACAGAACATTATTTGAAGTTTTTAGAAAAAAAAATACTGGATTGTTTAGCTAGTTGTTGAACGTGTGTGTGTGTGTGTTTGTGATAGCTAAACAACATTATCATGATAGTGATTCAAACGAACGTGTCTAAGATTTATTATGACCATAATTACGTAATTTTATATTCTAAAATAATGTTAATATGCTAATTTATATTAATATTTTAAAATATTAATATGTTTCGATTGATAGTTCAAATCTTATTTCACTTTTGAATTAATCGCTATGTGTAACTATTGGTCAAATAATAATTACTGTCGATCGGCATTTAAACGACTAGACGGACAAGCAAATTGTGAATTGTTACATACGTATTTCAATGCAAAATTCTATGAAAAGGCTTGGATATAATTAATTATATTATATAATATATTTATATAGATATATATATGTATATATTTACAATATTCTATAAATTCTACCGAATGTTTGGCGTTAATACGTTTGTAGTTCGTTTATTAAACTAAAGGTTCTACAAAAAGACTTTAGTGAGAAAAATCGAGAAAACGAACTACAAACATATTAACGCCGACATTCGGTAGAATTTATAGAATATTGTAAAAATTATGGTCTATTACCAATACACACACAAATATATATATATATTAATATATATATCCATCCATAGAAGAAGGCACTACAATGAACTTAAAATGAAACGGCAACCTATCTTATATCATATATATATCATATATCTATATATCATATCTTAATGGGTATAAAGTCGTACCGTATTTCACGACCTCACCACTTGTGTGTCCGTTATTTGTCTGATGAAATTTTAAGTCGTTGTGTCACTATATTTTGTGCCTGATTGGTTGACATGGAGTATGTATGAGTGAGGTTTAGGAAAATATTTTCTAATTCGGATAGAAGATCATTGAAATATATTTGACCGATTGATTGATTGACTGATTGGTTGATTGATTGATTAAATGATTGATTGATCAGCCGTTAGACGCTATATTATTGTGATGGTAATTCTTCAATTTAGATTTATACTTTAGTCTCATGTCGATGATTAGGTTGAGTTTGTGTCGCTCTAAATATTCCGGAGGCAATGACGTTTTAGAGGCTGACGACGACGATGACGTCATAAGTATTTTCAGCATCGTCCTCAAGTCTTGCTCCTGCAAAGTCTTTTTGTATAATTCCATTTTTAATGAGGTTAGTGCAGACGACGATGGTGAAGATGCTGATAATGGCGATTTAATCACATAACCATCTATTAACGCTCGTAAGCTGTACATATGGTGGGTGATACGACTTAGTCTTTCTCTAATTTTCATAATGTTAACACTGATGCACATTCCATTGCAGATGGTTGGGAAGGAATCGAAAATCCGATGCCGGTTCGAGGATTTCAAGAGGAATCGAACCAGGGAGGATAGATTTGGTGACTGCTGGAAGGTATAATGCGACGTTTCCTCCTTGCTGTTTTCAATGGTAAACGATTAATTAATTGAATAGTATAGAATAGATAATTTCATGCCATTGTATTATTTCATATACATAGTACATATGTGTATGTATCTTTATACATGTACCTATGTATCATGATATGTTTGTGTATGATATATATGTTTGTGTATGATGTATATCATTGTGTATGATATATATCTTTGTGTTACAGTCAAGAAGCCGCATTAATTGCGAATTATATTTAAAATAATTAATACTTACGTATTGGCTGGCACATAAAGTATGGATGGAAATTTTGAAGGCCTGTACTGTATGTAGACGTCATTCTCATCAGCATCTACCCTGTCGTTTCAATCAATTAATTAATCAATTAATTAATTGTAATTAATCAATTAATTAATTGACTCGACTAATTGACTTACTAATTGAATCAGCTAATTAATTGACTTGACTAATTAACTTACTAATCGAATCAACTAATTAATTAGAGATTATTTTTCTTACTTGGCGAATAGGATGTGATCAGAAGATGATTGGAAAAACCGGGCCAAAGAAACGAACAAATGGTCGAATGTTACGCAGTACCCGCACCATCTGGCGTAATACAACAACACCAAGTCCTGAAGGAAGCAAGCGTTTTAGGGGTATTTTCAATAGAGTTATAGTACAATTAAAAAGCAATAGGAATACTGCTATCAGTATTTATAATCCAGAATAGATGACAAACTTTTGTTCTGTTTAGGAGAAGTTTTCGTAACATACCAGACGACAATTCAGCGATGTCAACATTACTACTACTACCACCACTACTACTACCACAACTACTAGTAGTAGTGGTAGTAGTACCCATATTATCGTCAGTATCATTATTGTAATTATGATTATTATTAATTATGTTATTATTATTGAGCGACGATGACGAAGACAGTTGTGGGTGATTTTTGCCGTGATTTTCTAGCGCTTTCTCACTGAACAACCTCATCAGGTGTACTGTTATTGTTTTTGAAGGGGCGATGGATGGTGGTGACGCAAGCGTCGATGATGACGTATGTAGGTGACGTGATCACGTGAGTAGTTATTCATTATATTACGATGGGTTGGTAGTTAAACTGCCTGGCATAATAATAATAGTAATAATAATAGTTATAATAATAGTAATAATAACAGTTATAATAATAGTAATAATAATAGTTATAATAATAGTAATAATAGTTATAATAATAGTAATAATAATAGTTATAATAATAGTAATAATAATAGTTATAATAATAGTAATAATAATAGTAATAATAATAGTAATAATAATAGTTATAATAATAGTTATAATAATAGTAATAATAATAGTAATAATAATGATGAGGGTGATGGAATTAAACAGAGGCATCTCACCTATGCTATCTTCATCGATGGACCCAGTGTACCTATGCACAAATTCATCCTGTGAATTATATTTTATATTTAAATGAATATCTTTGCTGTCGTAATAAATAATTATTATAATAATTATCGAAAGCTCTGTGCTGCTACTACTACTACTACTTCATCCTGGTACTAATACTACTACCACTACTACTGCTTCATCCTGCTACTACTACCACTACTGCTACTACTACTACTTCTATTGCTACCATTACTAATTAATAATACAATTACTTTACGTATGTATAATAATATTCTACTAGAATTACGTACACAACATGCAGAAGACAAAATAATATGATATAAATAATATGAAAGAAGTTCATATGCGATGAATCTGTCTTACATACTCTTATGTCAACTATATAAAGTGATGGTGATGATGAAGATGAGGATGTAAGAAATGATGATGATGATGAGGATATTTCTTCAAATCTTCTTAATAATTCCTGGTGATGTCTAGTGTCTATGCTTATAAATTTGAACGTTCTGTTGTTTAAAGAAACTATGTCGAGGTCATTCTGATGCCTGTGGTGTTGTTGATGTTGTTGTTGTTGTTGCTGTTGTTGCGGATGTTGTTGTTGTTGATGATTATCACCTTGTCCACAAACGCCTGCAGCATTCTGACAGGCTACCTTCCACTTATAACAAACCGAACTGTCAATCATGAATACCCTACCACCACTCCATTGGCCACCCTGCGGATAGCCCCATGAACCCTCTTGAGAATTTTCCAATGGACCCCCTTGAGAAGAAGCCCCCTGTGGAGCGCCCTTTAAATCCCTCTCAACAAAATTACCAGACCCTAATTCTTCATCGACCCATTCCTTTAGTCTCCATGGCAAACGATGATGCGAATAATGGTGAGTCATGTTCGGTCCAATGCATAGGATGAGGACGTGACGAAGATGGGATGGTGAGTGAGTGGGTGTATGATAATCGAAGCATAACGTTGTTGGTGATGCTGTTGGAGGACTACTGCGAAGATGAAGATGACGGCTGCTGTAGAAATAATACTGTGTGTTTATATGGTGGACAGTGGTGCATATGTGCTGTTGTTGTTGCTGTTGTTGTTGTTGCTGTTGTTGTTGGTGGTGATTTTCCACGCAGAGATCTTTGTTTAGAATGGTTGAGTAAATGCAGCAATAATGGAATGAGCGTTTCTTCGAGTTCGCTTTTCTTTGGTCTTGTTGTTGTTGAAACTGTTGATGTTGTTGTTGAAACTGTTGATGTTGCTGTTGTTGTTGAAACGGTTGATGTTGCTGTTGTTGATGATGTTGTTGAAACTGTTGATGTTGCTGTTGATGATGATGTTGTTGTTGAAACTGTTGCTGCTGTTGTTGTTGTTGCTCTAGCACCACGTGATGTGCCGTGGCGTCAGCTGTCGTTCGACAGACCTCTAGAAATTTTTCGTGACGTTTGTAGGCAGTGTTGTTGAGATGCCTCAAGTAGGATTGTCGAGTTGGTAGCAGTATGTGTGGACTGCTCTTGCCATTGTTGTCATTAATGTTGTTGTCGAATTTGTTGTAGTGATACATCAGTGAAACATTCTTCAACTGTCAGATGATTGCAATGAAGATGAGGACAATGATAACAATGACGTCACACATACACACGCACGCACGCAAATACATACACACAAACACACACGCACAAACACACAAATATGCAGACATACTCACCAACATACTGGCACATCATCATAAAAAACATACAGTTAAATAATGAGAACAAGGAGGAAAAAGATGCAGATGATGACGGAAACGTCGTTGCTGCAGCTGCTGCTGCTGATGTCGCCAATGGTGGTACTGATAATGACGTCGGTGATGATGGTGATGAAGAGGAAGAAGAGGGAGGAACATCACTAAGGCAGGACCTCCTTTCAGTTCTTCTGCCAGTCTCCTACTCTTCACACCCAGCAAACTCAACTGTTTCATCAAAGGCTAAATTTTGGTGTGAACGTTTAAGAATGTGTATCCAATATGCGTATGTATTAATAATACCGCAATGCAAATATATACACATACAAACCTGCACACATACAAACATACATGCACATATATGCAAGCATACACTAAAACAAACACACACATGCATACATACATACATACATACAAACAAATACATACACAACCATAAAACAACAAACATAACGTAAAAAACGAACTAACACACATACATACATACACACACACACACACACATATATATATATATATATAAAATATACACACATACACACACATAGACAGACCTGTTGTTTGTTCTTATCTATCCAGTTGTAGATATCATGCTGTGTTGTATCACCACTCAGTGGCATTGTCTGGAATTTTAAAATTTTAAATTTTTAAAAAAAATTCAAATAATATTTAATTATACGTAAAATAATAATTATATTATACACAATAATTACAACAAATACTAAATAAACCTTCCAATCAAAACCGACCGACCGACCAACCAACTAACCAATGTTTCATTGAACAGCCTAACAAATGCAATAAAAGGCAAAGCTGTTGACACTGCTGGCGAATTCGTCATCACAGCAGCTAAACTCTGATTGGCTGTTGCTAAAATACCGAGGCCCTGGTTAGAATCCAATTGGACGAGAAGTAGACTGGCTTTAAAGTAAGGAAGCAATCCTACTGGCTGATGGGCGGTGGCCACATCTATGAATAATATGGCTGTCATCTGTTGTAGAAGGAGTTATGGTTTACTTTTATTTTTTTGTCATTATGTTGAATTTGCTGTTGGTAACTGCATACAAAAATAACACATGATAAACTGACGTCGGCATACAAACCAACAACAAACACAAGCAAACAAACAACCTCATAGTGGTACAATGCGTTGTTCAGCTGTTCTTGATCAATCACAAAACTAATTGGAAACATCATTCTCTCCATGAAATCAATCATATCTTCTGACGTCTGGGACCCTGGTGTGTGGTTGCAATGACAAAATTAACCAGTCAGCAACCAGAGACACGAAAAAATTTTCCAATCAATATCTAGTCAGCCAACAGCCAACCAATCAACACTCAGATAACCAAAAATAATCAACTAATCGTAATGTAATCAGTTTAAACCATTCATTCATCAATCAATCAACTAGCCAGCCAACCGATGTAACTATATCCATCAAATCCCTCTCTATAAAAGACGAGTGTGGGGTAGGAAATTTGAGGATGGTTTCTTCTGCACGTCCCTGATTCGTGCCAACAATTTACTGACACAAACTGAACCTGTTTATATACAATTAAGCAAGTAAGTCATGGAGAATTCATTAAAACTGAAATACTAAAAAATAATTAAAAACAGGCAAACAGACAAAAACCAGAATAAAAATATAGTAAGAGGCACAAAAACAGACATAGACAAACCTCGTGTAAAAAAAATTTTGCTGCCTTTTCAAATTCAACCTTGACCTTCTTACACCTTCTAGACCAAGGGGCATAATACATGACGAAAATCATCTCATTCGTCGTTATCAGGTTATTCAGCAGTTCCTCGCTACCCTGGTTCAAATCGATTACGTTACTGTTTTCATCAAAAAATCTAACTGGCTGACTGTAGGCCGGCTGTATTGTTGTTGCTGTTACATTTTCTGTGTTTTGCCTGTAGGTTGATTAGGGAGGAGAGGAATTAATAAATTTTGATTTGTTTTTTCATATATAAAAATTAAATAATCTAAACATAAGATGTTTTTAAATTTAAATCAAGTTAATAATTAACTTTTATTAAATTTAAAAGAGCGCAATTAAATTAACTGTTAATTTAATGGTTTGATAATTTTTTCTGGTCTGTCAGACTTCACACCCTATCTGATAATCTTGGCCTTGCTTATTATATGTCTATTTAATCAACAAAATATGACAAAATCAATGGTTAGATTAGTTATTTATTAGCAGATCAATCAGATCAGCATCATCTCAACCAAGGATCAAAACCATGGAATTCAACTATTATTTAATATTAATTTAATTAATGATTAATTCTTTTTTTTATAACTTGTCTTTTATAAAACAAACATTGTTGTAAAAGTAAAACTAACACATAAAATATTTCCAGGAAAAAGTTTACTAAAAATAAGAAGATCATCTCGAGAGCGAGGTGATATCTGACGAGGCTGCGTTTCAAGTTGTCCCAATTTACTAGTTGTAAGATAGGCAGTGGAGGCATAGCAGCTAACCAGTTGGCAACACGTCATCTCAATCCGTCAGCACACGATCATTTCATTCAGTTTGACGGCCAAGAATAACGATTTGTTTCAACTTTTTGTCTAATTCAAAAATAGTTTTTTATAAAAAAATTTTAATTTTTGAGACATTTGACGTGATTTTTGTGCCCGACGCTACCGATACATATGTTAAGTTGTCTCTAAAATTGGTTAAAAGTTAATTCAAATAACAATTTGTTCTGTACATTTGCTCGAGACCATTGGATTGTGCAGCCATTTGTATGGAATAAATAACAGATGTTTCTACAGTTACACTATGTATACATATATATTTGTTTGTTTTTATACTTATATATTTATATTTTACAAATATTTCATAAGCGAGGTGTGGTCTCAAGTTTTTTTGAATGGAGAGAATGCCATTAAACAGTGTACAAGAGCAATCAGAGTAACAGGTTCAATATTAAAGTTACATGACAAATGAATATTTTGATGTCAGTGGCAAGAGACGTAACATGGTTGCAGATGAAACCAGTCAATCAGTTGAATAAAAATATGAAAATAGGCCCATGGTGCCGCTTTCTTGGATTGAAATAGTTGAAGATCAAAATTGAAACAAATTATTTCTTTACTGCTCGCTTTGAAAGCAGCCCACATCATCTTTTAACGTATTGGAAGAAGTCGGCGATTTCTGGGGAAAAAAATTCTATTTTTAAGATGCTGTTAATGATGTTTCAACTAGCTAATGAAATTAATTGAAAAATAATGTAAACTCTATCCACAATCACCAATACATGTCAATTTCGTTATTCTCTAATCACACACCAAACACACACAACACACACACACACATGCGCAATGCATGAAAACACATGAGTGGCATATGTATCGATAATTTCCCGACATTTTTTGTCCTCTACTATACAGACAGCTCTGTCGAACGCAGAACTTCCCGCACGTCATTCTACACTAATATTTAAACTTCCGTGCCACAAAGGTTGTCGAAACCACACCTCACCGACGACTTCAAAACCTTGGTAGTGAATCTTGCCGTCGCGATTGATGTCCAACTTACTGACCAGCTGGCTGCATTCCCATTGAGTCAGTGAATTGTACTGCTCCAAGATGAACTGGAAATCTTTCACGCTGATGTAACCTTCGGAGGGAAAGAATTTAATCTAACCAGAGATCTCAAGTGATGATTTTATTTCATTCAAATCACACACAAATGCACACGCATGCACACACGCACACACACACAACACAGTAACAGCGCATTTGAATAGGCGTGAATCTATGCACTGAATACATTGGATTTGATCGGA